TATATATATATATATATAATTGTCCAACTCCAACCATTTATATGCATATAGTAATTACTAATTTATCATAGTATAGGCAATAGAAGGGGTTTAAGATTAGGTTTACATGTAATTGAAAAATGACAATATGAATATAGTCAATATGGGTACTACCGAGTTGTACTGAGTTTTTCCAAAAAAACTCGGTACAAGTTGGTATTTCTCGGTATTTGCTAGGTATTGATTATTGCCGAGCAAAATCGACCAATACCTAGTAATACCGAACAATATTGAGCAATACCTAGCAAAATCGAGAAATACCGAGCCATTCTGGGTCCTTTCCGGGTCGGGTTGTCGGGGCGCACGGTAAATAGTGTGAACACGTGACTCGATTCTATTGGCGGCCGAATGTAGAGCTACGTTTTGTGACCAGACCAAATAAAAGTTCCTTTAGATGTGGCTCATTACAGAAAAAAAAAATGTTTACTACAGAATCTTAATCTATTTATGTGTAATATTCAATATTTATACTTATTTGTATAATACTTAATTCTTTAAATTTCAGTAAAACTATATATATATATTGATGTAATTTAAATAAGAAAATGTGCATAAATAATTATAAAATTATAGATATTACATAGGTAAATTTATAAATTTAATATGGTATTTATGTAAAAAAAAGAGTTATCTTCTCTTATGCGCTTAGGCACCGACGACGATCCGTATGGGGATAAGCCAAAGCCTCAAATAATCCAATAATAAATTAAATAAATTAATAAAAAGCCATTAAAGAAAGCGGTGGAGACGCGTACGAAATAAAGGTCTGCCGTCAACTCCGCCGCTCACGCCATCATTTCCTCCTTTAAGAAAAAAAAATTATTTTATCGAATTTTTAGCGCGAATAATATCCATATTATTATTATTATTTAAAATAATTATTATATAACTTTAGACTTTAGAGGTATAAGTGAGCCAATTAACTTGTGAGTTAAGTTGAATGAGTGTTGTTAGCTCATAAATTAGCTCTTTTAAAAATTATTAATATAACTAATAAGATATATAT